GCCACTCACCGCCCTCACGGCCCTCACGCCACGCACGCCACTCACCGCCCTTATGTCACTCACCGCCCTTACGCCACTCACCGCCCTCACGCCACTCACCGCCCTCACGCCACTCACCGCCCTCACGCCACTCACCGCCCTCACGCCACTCACCGCCCTCACGCCCCTCACCGCCCTCACGCCCCTCACCGCCCTCACGCCACTCACCGCCCTCACGCCACTCACCGCCCTCACGGCCCTCACGCCACTCACGCCACTCACCGCCCTCACGCCACTCACCGCCCTCACGCCACTCACCTCCCTCACGCCACTCACCTCCCTCACGCCACTCACCTCCCTCACGCCACTCACCGCCCTCACGCCACTCACCACCCTCACGCCACTCACCGCCCTCACGCCACTCACCGCCCTCACGCCACTCACCTCCCTCACGCCACTCACCGCCCTCACGCCACTCACCGCCCTCGCGCCACTCACCGCCCTCACGCCACTCACCGCCCTCACGCCACTCACCGCCCTCACGCCACTCACCGCCCTCACGCCACTCACCGCCCTCACGCCACTCACCGCCCTCACGCCACTCACCGCCCTCACGCCACTTACCGCCCTCACGCCACTCAGCGCCCTCACGCCACTCAGCGCCCTCACGCCACTCAGCGCCCTCACGCCACTCAGCGCCCTCACGCCACTCACCGCCCTCACGCCACTCACCTCCCTCACGCCACTCACCTCCCTCACGCCACTCACCGCCCTCACGCCACTCACCGCCCTCACGCCACTCACCTCCCTCACGCCACTCACGCCACTCACCGCCCTCACGCCACTCACCGCCCTCACGCCACTCACCGCCCTCACGCCACTCACCTCCCTCACGCCACTCACCGCCCTCACGCCACTCACCGCCCTCACGCCACTCACCGCCCTCACGCCCCTCACCGCCCCATACCCCTCACGCCCCTCACGCACTCATGGCCCTCACGCCACTCAGGCCAGCTTCAGATGGGGCAATTTCGCCCAGAAACTTTACGTCTCAACACCAGCAACACGGGCCGCCCGTGATCACACGCAGCAACCAATTGCTGCAATCTGCCATCGTCATCATAAAATTTTATTTTAATTGCACTATTTAGACACAATTACGCGTTTTAAACGTGTTTTTATGCATTTAAACTTCGTCAAGAATACTAATGCACCTTTCTGAAACAGTTTATTTCCCCCCCCCCCAAAAAAAAAACGATCGATTTCAAACCAGAACCAAGTCTTTCGGTGTCATCATCACCGGCACGAGGTACCACGTGAAAATTTTGCGTCCCTGATTGGATGCAGCCGCCTCAAACGTATTGGAATTGCTCCGAGTTGCTTGCTTATTTCGAGCCGGACCCGATCTCAGCAATTCGTGTCGATCTAGGGAAAGCTAGAGAACAACCCGCCATGAACACCAAAATTGCTGAGAAAGATGCTCGATCTAAAGGGGGCCTCACGCACTCACCGCCCTCACGCACTCATGGCCCTCACACCACCTCATGAACTCACCGCCCTCACGGCCCTCACGCCTCTCATGCCACTCACTGCCTTCACGCACTCATGGCCCTCACACCTCTCACGCATTCACCGCACTCACACCACTCACGCACTCATGGCCCTCACGCCACTCACCGCCCTGACGCCCCTCACGCACTCATGGCCCTCATACCCCTCACCGCCCTCATGGCCCTCACCGCCCTCACGGCTCTCACCGCCCTCACGACCCTCACCGCCCTCACGACCCTCACCGCCCTCACGACCCTCACCGCCCTCACGGCCCTCACCGCCCTCACGGCCCTCACTCACCCTCACAATCACGAATTTTCCTGGTTCAGAAACTCACTCACCCTCACCTCACCTGTGAAGATAAGGGTGAGTGAGGGTGAGTGAGGGCCCTCATGAGTGAGGTTTGCCGAGGTATGGTCCCCATGGGTGCCACACTCTTCGACTGCAATACATTCGAGCGGACTGAGCGAGGAAAAACTCGATTTCACCTAACGGTAGACTCTCGGGGGAACGTACGAACCACTCCAGCCGGTCCGGCGTTAAAGAAGTGTCACGCGACTCCCGCACATCGCCCTCTTCAGATGGTCACTCAACCGCGGGGGAGAGAAGGAGGGCGCGCCTGAGCACCCAACTCTGATTTAAATAATGACTGGAGCTGCCTCTGCTCAATCGATGTTATAACGCCTTTCCAGCGGATTGACAGCTAGCTTTACGTCGACCGACTAATTATTCCAGCCGGAGCTCTCCCTCAGCCAGTGAGTTGCTGAAAAACCGGACGACTCTTAGCTGTTTGGTCGTTATGCCCGGATGCAAAAACAAACGGAGGGCGCGAGAATCGGAATAAAATTGATAGGACTCCGTACCTGAGGCGTGAACGGACGCGCCAACTAATTCGCCTACAAATATATGTCATTTATCCGGCTTAAATACCCTCGCGAACAATTACTCATTTTCCGGCACGCGAGCAACCCGCACTTCCTTTAGAACGAAGGAGGCCCTCTTCGCTGTTTGGTTACAAATCGGTCGGTCGCGGTATGTGCTACCCTTTCGGTACTTCCGCCTAAGGCTCGATCGTTGTGCGCTCAACACCGGGGTTTTCCGCCCGGTTCATGCCTGGTAAAGTAAACGAGGGCTCCCAGATGAGGGTAGTACTTTATCATCGTTGCTGTATTTTTTTTTACGTGACTTCATTGGAGCCTCTAAGAAGCAGTGATGAAAGAAGCGGGAAATGAAATATAAAGTAAGAGCGCGAAGCCGAGTGGTGCTTTGGAAGCGAAAAGTGAAAACGCCGAGCCGAGAAAAAGGCGTCCAGGGATAACAAACAGATCGTCTCGAGTTGATCGAAGCAGCCGTCTGGGTTTCGCTAGCTAGAAGACAAGGCCTGCGCGTGACGTCATCGTTAGTGGACCCAAGCGGCCATCGCGCTGAAGCTTGACGAGCATCGCGCTCGTTAAGGGTAGAAAGGCCTTGCCTTCTACGGTACTTTTGTCCGGAAGGCGCTGCTCTTTATCAGCGTCAATAGCCAGCACTGTGTTTTTTGCTGCTTCTTGTTTTTGGGCGTCTGGTGCGTCTGCTAAAGCAGCTGCCGTCGTTTTTACCTCAATCGCTAACAGGCGCTGCTGCGATGCGTCGATTTATGGAAAATAACCTTTTTTTTTTTTTTTCTGTCGTACATGTTTTGTTTTATTGTTGCGCTGGACGTCGAATGGCTGCAGGCGCGGCTAACAGTATACACACTAGAAGTATATTTATTGGGCACGTTTATGAAACGAAATCGAGCGTGATGTGTATTTAGGGTGCTGATACTACACTCTATGTTTAAGGGTGTTAATCGATTAAGGGTTTTTAACGAATCAATCCTTAACCAATATGCAATTAATTAAAAGAGTAATTGGTATAATGTGGAAGCTGATAGAATTTTTAGGCTACCGCGAAATTATGAATATAATATATTGCTAGGATTATCTTTAGCAATGCAGGAACAGTCTGATTTCGCGAATCCCGCTCATTTCATAGTTTGGATGCAGAAGTATAGAAAAAAGACAAAAATTTGTATGCACCTTTTTACTGACATTAAGTAGCTAGATACAGTTCTAAGTATTTTCGATCAGTTGCGAATTTTTGAAACATTAATGGTTTGGTTTGTATTTTCGACGCAAGATTCTCCTTGGTGGTACATACTTATATGCAAATTTATTCTTTACCTAAAAAAAAAAAATCCGGTCTGGCATACTTTGAAAGCAGGGCGTCCGGGGGGAATCTCACAATTTAAATTTCTCGACGTTGAGTTTGACAGCGCGGCGAAATTCGATGTCCATGCCACCCCGGAAAAATTGTATTTATATATAATTAATCTTTTAAGAAAGTAGTAGGCTGTTCACTGAGAAATTGATTGATCATTGTGGCAATAGTGGGATTTTACAGTCCTCCTTATATCGCAATAGTGTCGCGTGCCTGGCCGATGTTGACACTACACGCGGCTCCCACGCCTGTCAAGCGGGTTTGATCATAGCCTCCTCTATATACTCACAAAGCCTGGCAGTTCGACGACGGAGCCATAGAATGCCCGGTCGCAGCTTTGGAGCGCGAGGATCTGGTAGCACAGAACGTCAAAGAGCCATTTCTCGGGGAACCTGGACGTCAGCTCACAGTTTTTGCAGCGGCGAGGGCCCGAAACACACTTGTTCGCTGAGGAGAAGTGTGTTTCGGCGTCTCGCCGCAGCGGGGCGCCAGTCACGTGGCTCTTTTCGCATCCATTGTCTGCCGCTCCACCTCCATTTCGGCGGCCGCCTCACGTGGCGATCTGCCAGGGTTTGTAGGGCTTGATTCCCACCTTACCCACTGCCAGGGTGAGAACGCCAGAACGTGTCTTTCGAAGGCTTCCAGCACGCTCCCTATGCCTTCCTCCGTGCTTTGGCTGCGGGCGAGACGCCGAAGTGTCATCAAAGGTCGGAAGCTCGCGGTGGACGCGGTGGACGCGCGGAACAGCTGAAGCGCCTCCCTGACGTTCTCATTTTGTCCGTGACTCTCGTTCTCATTTTCCCTTCTGTTGCTTCTCTGGAAAGTTTCAGTGCATTTTCGTTTGTTATCGGGTGTTCAGTTTAGAACCTTCTACTATCGCGGACAATATGAGCAGACACAGTCCTTCGTGCTTGTTTGGCGTACCCGCCGGTTTTTTGAGAGAGGGCTGTGATCTGGAATGGAATGCGAAGTTGAGGTCCAATTGAGAGATAATAGAGCTTGTGGGGACCTCAGACTCGGAAGGCTACCGAATCGGATGTTTCAGTTCATATTCTCCGCGGCGGTACATGAAAGCAGCTTCATCAGGCCCCATCAAAATTTATGTAAATGGGCGAGAACTCATGGCCAAGATGCGGCTGTCGTACACACCGCCTGCATGCAGCCTCAACCCGGTCTTGGTAACCGAACTTATACCTCGCTTCTGCCTTCTCTCATTGGGCCGCAGTTCGAGCCCCGGTCATCCAGACCGCGGACACTGGATCACCCGTGACGTCCTCTGGGGCGTCTTGGACGATGGCAGTGCGGGAGAGGACAGTTCGGGACCAAGTTAGCGGCAGGCCCAGAAGGAGCGGCGACCGGACGACGACGTCGGCATGAAGTCGTGCTCGTGGCGTCGCGTCAGCGGAGACTTCTCGCTCGACGTGGCCAAGGACAGGGCGACCAGGACCAACGGCGGTGCCGCGCACAGGGCCAGGGATGTGGACGAGTTCTACCTTCGGGTCACGCAGCGACAGGAGCAGCACCTGGTGCCGCTCAAGGAGGACCTTGCCGACTGGCTCAACAAGTCTCTCGGTGAGTGAGTCTTCGAATGCTGGATGGCATCTACCGTCCGCGTATTTGAAAGTAAGTATCCTGGAAGTCTCTAATGGCCCCCGTTTCGCTAAGGAAATTCTCCGGATTGCGGATGACTTCTCCTCCATAGATCTATTTGAAAAGAAGTGCCCTGGAAGCCTGGTGGTAAACCTTTCGATGAGAGGCATCCCTTGGCGACACGTTGGCCGCCACTCTGAGACTTCGAGGAGACTTTTTTTTTTTTTTTTTCATGTTCATTCCACCAGTTTCGACCACCTTCGTATTATGTTTGGTCTGTGCTATGGTATGGGATCCTCACTGACCGCCGTAGCTGAGTTGTTTGCTACAAAGCGCGTTCCGATGATAAACTTACACTGAGCTCTTTTGCAACATGCATTTCGTACCATCAAGATTCAGCGTCCTTGGCAGACGATACGTGTTGGTGTGCTCTAAGCATGCACGAGCTCTCAGCTGTAGCGGATTATGTATGAAGGCTAGGTCAAATGAGGTTTGCGGTAATAAAGTTCACTTCTCTTAATATGAATAGACCGATTTCACCAGAACGCAATGCATTAAGGGAACTTTGGTATCTCTGCACGTGCCACAACCTTGCTGGAGCCCCGCGCGTGCAGAGCACGAGATGTCTCGGGCACTGCCGCCTTTCTCCTTTGAACTAAACTTATGGTGGTTTCGCGCATGCGCCAAACGCTTAATGAAATAAATCTATGGCAAAAAAAAAAAAAAAGAAATGAGGAGGGTGTATCGGGAATGCATTAGAAGGTGGTTGATTCCATTTCAAAAACTTATAGCCAAAAAGGGCAGCATTTTTTTATTTGTGCAATGTTTTTGTTTTTGCTTGCTTAAGAAGGATTCCTGCTGCAGACGCCAGTACGTGCAGCGCGTGTAACTACACTCCCGGCACGGTGCTCGGGTAATTTAGCCAGAGGTCTATGAGCCGGTTGTTACTGCTTTCACCGCGGCACTCTCCCAAGAGCGGCCCACTCTCGGGCTAATTTCTCCGGCACCTTGCGTCGATTAAACGAAGGGTCTATCCTTAGCCGAGGACGTCCACGCTCGGGCCTCGTTTTTTCGAACGCTCGCTTCCGCGTTGCCGCTGGTTGTTCGGAGCAGCGAGCTCGTTTCCCGAGTTCCCCGGGAAGGTCAAGTGAAGGTCACGATGTCATGTTTTGTCTGCCGGGGCGCGTCCCACGTCGGTACAAGGACGGCGCTCTGGCAGGAGATACTTTGTTGTCACGCGCTAAGTGGTCCCATCTTTTCGATCACGCCTTGCGCCGCGTGGGCGACGAAGTGGGCGCGCTTGACTTCCTCCAGGAATTCGTTATGATGGAGACGTCCGGTGCTGTGGCCAATGAGAGCCCCCGTCGGACCAAAACAATATCCCCCTGAGGCCACGAGATATTTCGAATGCGTGAAATCAACCATTCTTATGCCTCTATATGTCTGTCTAGGTCACGCGACTTCACAGGTATAATGGTTTCTAAACTGACATTGAAATAGCCCTGTCGTCGCTGTCTCAATTCCTTCGAACCCAGTTGCAGTCATACTAGCTTTTTCATTTTGCGATAGACTACAACCAAAACTATCAATACACTACGTGGTTTCTAACTTACTGGTGATGGGACCTGCCGGCCCGTTGCTTTGGCTATAGCCTCCGTAGCGTTAGACAAAATGTATAATATCTGCTGTCCTTGGCTTGGCGAAAGGAAAACGCGTCAGCCGGAATATATGAGCCACTTAACTGCCTCGTTCGTTTTATAGCTGATTCGGTCTTTTAATGGCCGGATGCTGTTTGGTGTATTGCGTTTTAGACACTCGATTGATGGCAATTCTTAACGTCCGGTTTGATTAGACAAAGGATGTGTCGCAGTATGCGCACAACTGCACTGGCTCACCGGCCATTTTAAGAGTTTAATTGAGGCTTCGCTCCGGGTTTCGATGGTGCTGACTATTGCTGCTCATTGGCTGTCACCGATTATATATGTGCTGGGCCAGAGGGCATAATACAACGGTACTAAAACGTAGGCGTAGTCCATTAGCACGCCCGACCTTCACTGAAAGAAAGAAGCGCGTCACATTGAACTAAAGATTCGCGCTCTTTAGCCTAGACGCACTAGATCAGCAGATAACCAACTTTTATTGTAACAGATTCGGCGCTTAGGTGTTCCTAGCAAGTCTAGATCAGTACCGCTTTCGCAAACTTGATTTTTTTTTTTCACCGTCCGTCGACGTTTAGGCATTTGGAAGGTTCCTGGCAAGGTGCATTCGGCGTGTGTGCGAGCAAACTTTGTCGTTGTTGGACTGGCGACGTGAGTCTCTTACTGACCGGTACAGCAAAAAACAATATGTCAATGCAAGTTTCACATCTTTCGCCTATTGCGACGAACACCGATAGACGCAAACCAGCTTTTCTCCGTGCGACGGGAGCTGGTTTGTCAAAGCTGGTTAGTTCACCGACGGAGCAAGCCAACATTTTGGTAAACCGAGCAGCCTTCCGCAGTGTTGCTTGATCGGGAACATATTCTTTCCTCGCGAGGCCGTGACGGTTCGGCGAGGATTCGGGAAAGGGACAAAGAAAGTTACGACATCTGCGAAGAAGATCAGAGCCACGTGACAGCTCTGTACGGGCAGAGTGCCCTTCGACGGAATATACACTGTCACGTGTCTGGCTCCAATGCTCTGTTTGGCTCGCGGGGCCTGGGACTTCGCCGCTTGGCAAGTTATGATTGAAAGGGTGTATAACAAAGTACACTGAACACGTGTCTGCGGGAACCTTGTTTTTATTATTGGAACGGTTTTTTTTTTTTAGCTTCGTCATTTCTTTTTTTTTTTTTTTTACCATGCGTAGTTTTGAGACGAAAGAGCATAAGTTTGGGCAGAAGTGGAGCTGCAGCTGTTCTCGTCTGGATCGATGCGTTGCAAAACCCGAAAGCGAAACGGAGGACACACGGCTAGACTGAGGGTGTGACGTCATCGGTGCCGTCGTCTGCTCGCATACTCTCAAGGAGTTGCGTCCATCTCAGCGCGCGTACACTGCGGGATCGATAACTGCGGCTGGGTGGCGCCGGCGCCTCTTGGGATCAAAGGCTGGGCCATTTTTGTTGTTGTTGTTTTTTAACGTTTTTTCGCGCCTTCGGCACTCTGTTGACAGATGTCCTCCCTTGGCTATAGTCTCCAATTAGATGGGTGGACAATACGGCAGCTGGCATACTCTTGCGATATCGGGCGGCTGCTTGCGCCACCTAGCCCTTTGCTTTGGAATGAAGAGTGCTACTGGCATCGCGCGATAGATACCGAACTTGGACTAGTCAATTCCAACTGAGATTATATAGCTGTATCCACTCTCATCGTTGGGAGTTGAGGACGGAAAAGAAACGACGGGCAGAAATACTATAAAATCGACTTAGAATTTTGTGAGTGGTTTGCCTGCTGTCCGTTCTCAAGCCGCAACAAAACGTCAAAGGGAGCATGTAACTTGTTTCCTCGATTTGGCTAAATGCTATCCATTCGAAATTCTTGATGTTCATACTGTACGAAACGTGCGCTCGTTTGCTTCACGCGCTGTTATGAAAGAAAATGAAGGAATAATATAAAATTCTTCAAGTCGTGTCTAGCCAGAACAGTTTCTCAGCCAATATTCGGCCGTTTGGCGCTTGTGCCAGCGTTCCTCGCAACCCGATCCCCTGAGTGGGCAATGCTAGTATAGGACATGCTCTACTCCTGGCAGTTCTTAGAGTTCTGCGATTTCAGTCAACTCATTAATTGGCCGCGGACGCGAACCCTAATGTGCTAGTTCTCTCGCGTCGTACTGTTCCCAACCTGAACCTCGTGTTTTTAATCGTCCTCCCTCTGTTCCACATTTCGGTCGTTAGGCCTAGCCAGTTTTCGTCGAACACCAGGCAGTAGCTCCCCGCTCGTCTCCATCAGGCTTTTTCCCGCTGGGTAGTGTCGCCTTCTCCAGAGTTGCGATATGCAGTTAGTAAAAATCGAATCAATATTGTTTCGTGGTTCCTTTAAACCGACATCCCCATATCTATCCGCGTGCCTTACATCGGATTCCCAGCATGCATCTAGAAGACAACGGAGGACGTCACATATATTTCTGGATGGGCTGTGTGTGGTTTAGTCCACGATATTTGCAGCTAACGCCATCTGCAGGTTACCGCGAACGACTCGTGCTTCCGTCTCCGCTCCGAGTGAAGTGCGTGCTCGCGAAAAATGCGGAGTGGTTCGGGCGTTTCCCCGACAGTTTGTTTTTTTCGCCAGCGTCCCAGAGGAGGGCGCTGGCGTGGGAACGACGCGGAGGGAGCAGCAGAAAAAAAGAAAAAGGAAAAAAGACTCCGACCGAGAGATGGCGTGACGAGTGTTCGTTCTACTTTTTTCCCGTCGTCCGGAAGGGCGTGTTGATGCCTCCATCCATGGCTTTTTGCTTTGCAAACTTTTCCCGTTCACCAACGCCCTCTGACGTCGAAGAGGTGAAGGCCGGCGCGTTTTTTTGCGAGTGCCGGAAGCTCTCGTCCGTACTGGCTGAGGCGTCCGAATATACGGGTGGGCGTCGTAGAGACGAACACTTTTGGCAGCGAGGTTTCGGGCAATACCACATTGAAGCAAGACTTTTCCCCACAAACGTCCTCACTAGCGCGTCAGCGTCGCCGCCATTGCGTCGTACAGCGTGTCACGAGGAGCGCGACGCTATAGCACGCGACGTCGCCAGGACGGACGAGTGTGCGACTTTGCGGTGGCTCTCGTCGAGTTTCAGCGTGTCTTGGGTCCACTAACGATGACGTCATGCCGAGGCCTTGTCTTCTAGGTGGTGTAATGGTGGGGGGACCGAAGTTCTCTTCGTTCGGCCGTCGTCGCCCCGTCTCGTTTACGGCGCGGTTGGGTAGTTTCCGCGAGTCTTTTCCGAGAGCTCATGGTTAGGGCAATGCTCTGTATCAACTTCTGGTAGTCGGCGAACGCTAAGGTGTGGTAATCAGAAT